TGGAGTCCCAGGATCGAGTCCCGCATCAGGCTCCCTGCTCAGCAGGGAGTCTGCTTCTCCCTCTGACCCTCCCCCCTCTCATGTGCTCTCTCTCAAATAAATAAGTAAAATCTTTAAAAAAAAAAAATTAAAGAGGGCACACATTGTCCAATTTAAAAACTTACTACAAGGCGCAGTATGCAGGTCAGTGTGGTGCTGGCAGAAGAACAGACACACAGACCCATGTCCGTGAAGGGAGAGTCCAGGAATCAACACATACCTATATGGCCAATTGATTTTTTGCAAGAGTAGGAGGCTTACTCAGCAGGGAAAAGAACAATGTCTTCAACAAATGGTGATGGGAAAACTGGATTTCGAAATGCAAAGGATAAAGTTGGACCCCTACTTCATACCACATGCAAAAAATTAACTAAATTAATCAGTGACCCAAAGAGCTAAAAACGATAAAACTCCTAGAAACAACACAGGGGCGTCTCCAGCGCACTGGAGAGGATTCTAAGATGAAACTCCAGCAACATGAGCACCAAACAAGTTGGACTTAGTCAAAAACTTCTGTGCATCAAAGGACACCGTCAACAGTGGAAAAAAAACCACCCACAGAATGGGAGGAAGTATTTGTAAACTACATATCTGATAAAGGATTTGTGTACGTCTTTAAAAATTCCTAAAACTCAACAACAAAAAACGAACGCGTGAGGACAAATAAAAGCACCTTTTAGGACGGCAAAGGGCACATCATGTAGTGTGTGTAACTGAGCGCACGCACCGATGTGCCCCTGACTTGGGGTGCGGCACGGCCAGAGCCCGGAGGACGGGGGCCTCTGTGGGGCTCCTGCCTCCTAGCCCCGGCTTGGACGGCTACAAGGGGCAGAGCAGGTGGCAGTGAGGGACTGCGCCTGGCTCCCCAAGCCTGTGGGCTTTGGAGGGGGGATCGAGACCCAGCTTTGGCGCCCAAAGTCATTGGCCCCCCAGGAAGTTGGGAGGGGGGTTTCTGGACCCCCAGACGTACCCGCATGCTCAGGGCCACACACTGTGGCAGGACAGTCAGAGGGCATCAGAATGCACCTGTCTGGGCCTTCCCGGTGCCGCCCAGGCACGGAGGAGCTGCCTGGAGGGTTTGGAGGGGAGAGCACGGTGGGTCTGCAGTTGGGGTATTAGGGTCAGGCGCCTGGGCTAAGAGGAGGGGATGCGGGTAGGACCAGCCTGAGGAGAAGCTGCCATCCAGGGGGAAGGAGCTGCGAGTCCTTGCATCTTGTCCTGGCCTCTACCCTGCAGGGCTTCTCTCTACTCAACACAGGACAGACAGCCCTGGGTGCGGGCACGAGGACACAGGAACAGGGACATGGGGACACGGGGACACGGGAGCTTGGGGACAGAGAGACAGGATGGGGACACAGAGACAGAGGGATAGGGACAGGGGGAGAGGGGGGCGCAGGGACGGGAACAAGAGGGTAAGCACAAAGGGACCTGACATGCGGACACAGGGACACAGGGACGGGGACATGGGACAGGGACACAGGGAGTAGGACACGGGACGGGGACACAGACACGGGAAGGGGGGCACAAGGGTGGGCACAGAGGGACAGGGGGACGAGGGCACAAGGTTGGGCACAGTGGGTGAGGGACACGGGGACACAGGGTTACAGGGACAGAGACACAGGGACGGGGACACAGGGACACGGGGACAGGGGGACATGGGGAGGTGGGGACACAGGGCCACAAGGATGGGGACACAGGGCCACAGGGATAGGGGCATTGACAGGACATGGGGACAGGGATGGGGGGCAGGGACACAGGGACACGGGAGTGGGGACAGGGACTCTGGAGTGATTGTGGTGTGGCACTTGGTGACCATGGGGGACCACACCCATGGGGTGGTGTGACACGATAGACAATCATTGTCACCATGCTGGTTGCCACAGTGACCGTCCTGCAACAATGTGAGGTCCTCCTGGCTCAGCCTGGGCCTGTCCTGGGGCCCTGGGTTCCCAGCCTGCAGCCAAGTGCTGGACCCCAGCCCAGTCGTGTCCCAGCACCAGGCAGGCGGGGCCTGGGCGGAGCCTGGAGGTTGTGCAGGCCAGGGATGGCGTGGGGAGCGGGGCCGGCTGACCCCCCTTCCCCTGCAGCC